CCCGCCCACCTGCTAATTCCCCTCCCCCATCCCCCCCCCCTCGCTCCCGATTAGAGTAGAGCTCTTTTTAGCCGTTTCCGCCCCCTTCAGTGTGGAATTTCGGGTTCAGCATAGCGAATAGGGCCAAGCAAGCAAAAAATCCAAAAAACAATATTTTGCCTGGACCTGCTTTTGAGTTGCTATCTCTGAATGTGCTCAAATTTTACATGATGGGGATGTACATGCTTCTCAAAAAGGTCATTTTATTTGTAACAGTGTCAAATCAGTCGCTCTCAGTATGCGACATTGCTGCCCTTTGTTCAAATAAACCTATGAAACTGTTTTTCCTCAAGCACCTTTTGTTTCTCCATTTTGACTACATTTACAAGTTCCTTAACAAGCCTGAGTACATATATTCTGGTACACTATTTGAGCCATGCGGAGTACATTTGGCGTTGTATCAGTATTATCCGAGTTGCTCAAGGATTGTATGCATTCCAGGCCAAGGACTCCGACGAAGAATCGGACGACTCACAGAAAAGCACAAAGAGTTCTCACGAACAAGAAAAGCTTGTAAAATCAGCTTCACCGGAACACGGTGAAATCAAGGTAGGTCTATATCTAGCATGACGCAGGCTTCCCACTCGTGGTTTAGGAGACCTAACAATGATAATCTTCACTTCTTATAGTTACTATCTTCTAAATTTTAGGTGGCCGCTTATCTCAACCTCGTGGCTGACTTTGCGCATAATTTTACCGATGGTTTAGCCATCGGAGCCTCGTTTATCGCTGGTACCACAATTGGTGTAGGTAGGTTTGCTTTTGCTTTTGATTCCAAGCCATTATTGTGACGTATCCTCTACTATCGCGCTTCTCCTGGGCGCCGTGAGATTTGAAATAGCTATAGCAGTCAGTTCAATACTTGCTGAACATCTGTATTATTAGCTGCAATAATGATGAGATGGAGAAAATCCTGCCGCTGTACGGTCCGTATGTGCGCTAGCTGCAGGATTTTTCACATTCACACTCAAGCGATAGTGAAGAACCATTCAAAAAAGCTATTCCGATCTTTGCAGTGACCATGATCACAGTTCTTGTG